AGAGAGAGAGAGAGAGAGAGAGAGAGAGAGAGAGAGAGAGAGAGAGAGAGAGAGAGAGAGAGAGAGAGAGAGAGAGAATGCGCCAGGAGTCTGTAAAAGTGCACGTTGTTGTTAATACTTGGTATGAATGGGTGGTTGGTTTTGCAGGTGCGGTATATGAAATTGCATACAGGGTTCAGGCGCTTAAAGATCAAAAGGTGGAAAAGTGATGGACTTGGTGATGCCACGAAATGCGTAAAGGAAGTGCTGTTGACGAATGGACACCCTACTGTGCTGGGTGCAGGAACCTTTTCCTTTTTCCAAATGTATCATACTGTATCGTAAAATCCGCAGATCATGTCTTTGTCATCAGGGTGCCTATTCGTCATTTGGTCAAAATCAACCCAGTTGTTTCTGACGTTGCCCCGTTGTGCACCGGCCAGTTGAATGCAGTGATCAGCTTTCCAACTTTTCACTCTGCAATGTGCTTGTCCCCTACTTCTGGTTGCATACGAGAAGAAATAGAATTCAATCTCAGTCTGGAGTCTAGATTGGGATGGCAGTAAATATTCAGCTGACAGACAGAACAGTAATGACCTGTGAATTGAATCAATTGATGTTCAAATTTTATTTTTTTTAAGCTGACTGTAGTATGTTCCACAACCAAAGGTGCGAAGATTGTCCTGCCTTTTTGCTTTTCTGTCTTTTTGAAAGGCGTCCCTATTGGATGTCGATTTGCAACACCAATAGATCTCTCCTGGAGCGACAGGAACCTGTGCTCGAGGACCGTCTGTGCAAACACCGTGATCTGAAAACTCCTGTCCACCCTATGGAGCGGGTACCCATTTGCTGCTGTAGTGCTATTCGCAGAGGAAGCATGAACTTTTCTTTTCTTCGGGGGGTGTACTGGTGTCCCACGATGCGCGTGTCGTTCAGGATGGTTGGTCGAGGAGGAGAGGGCAGCGACCTGTTTCCTTCATTGCTTCAGGCTGGGGCTGTGGGCGGTGGGGGTGTGAGGTTTGGCCCCCCCTGGTGTCCATGGTCGGTGCCCAGAGCTCTCCATCAACTTCTCCACTGAGTTTTGTGTGTGTGTGTGTGTGTGTGTGTGTGTGTGTGTGTGTGTTTCCCTCTTATTTCTTCTTCCTCTTCTCCTTTTTCTTTGTCTTCTTCTTCCATTCCATTGCTTTGGTCATCCTCTTGCCGCGCAGGTGTGTGTGTGTGTGAGAGAGAGAGAGAGAGAGAGAGAGAGAGAGAGAGAGAGAGAGAGAGAGAGAGGTTAAGATGAGTTATTCGGTCTACTGAGTTCACAAATGAGGACAATCCACTGTGAGAGAGAGAGAGAGAGAGAGAGAGAGAGAGAGAGAGAGAGAGAGAGAGAGAGAGAGAGAGAGAGAGAGGTTAAGATGAGTGATTCAGTCTACTGAGTTCACAAATCAGGACAATCCACTTGTACAAAGCCCAAGTAATAACGCTATTAGGAACTAACTGGAAGGGGGGACAATCCACTTGTACAAAGCCCAAGTAATAACGCTATTAGGAACTAACTGGAAGGTCTGAGACGAACCCGGAGGATATATAACATAAATTAGCAGTCTGAACAAGGATAACCAGCGAAAGGACCCAAGTTTGATTTCGTCATGTACAAAACCAAGCAGTCTACCTACACTGAACCAGCCAAATAAGGACAGACTGGTCTATTGACTCATCCCAAGCTCAGGACGACGTATTCTATCTTTATGATGGGAAAGTCCCCCTTTCTCATGAATGGTCATGCAAGGCAAACACTGGCTAGGTGGGAGTCTGAGTCAACATGAAGGAGGAAGCTGTCTGAAACGGTATTCACCAGTTCGCAGTAGCGAATGCAGATCCCAGGGCTCGATCCCTAGTTCCCCGTCTTACCTGTGTACAGTACCAGTGTCAACCCGTAGATTTGAACCTGCGACCTGTAGGACCGCAAGTGGTAGGTAGGTTTTCGTAGGTCACACGGAAGAAGGGAATCAAACTGTAGACCTGTAGGGTAGGAGTCTAGACAGTTCCGAAGTCGTAGTTGTAGGATGTCTGAAGGGTCAAGGTCGTAGCTGCTACTTACCTGAAGGGGCAAAGTCGTAGCTGCTACAGTACCGAAAGGCCAAGTTAGAGGTTTCTGAAGTGGCCTTTCGGAGTGAGCCTGCGTTGAACAGAGGCAAGTGGTCAAATGGTGGTAGGCCACCTCGCTGAGTCAACAGCCCCAGTTAGGCAGTCCGGTCCTGTCCAGCAAGTACCGTTTGGGACTGCGTGCACCAGGGGCCAAGGGACACAGGGCAGACCAACGCAGCGCAGAAGTATAAATCAAGAGGATGCATCCAGCCATTATTCATTCCTGCAGAATTCATGCGGAAGCGCTGCCTCAGCAGCTTGTGCGGGGAGGTCTGCAGAAGGCCTAAAGACGAAGAGGGCGAGAGTGACGTACTGTAGCCATAGCGATAGGTAGCGGCAGCCATAGCTGCCATAGCTTAGTGTAGAGTGCAGAGTGTGTGTACTGAGTGTGTGTGCAGAGTGATCTGCGTGGGACATCCAGGGTGATCCACAGTGTGAGCAGCGAGGTGTTTGGGCGCACAGCCGCCATAGCCAATTACAAGAGAACTCTTATCTGGTTACGATATCTCTGAGTACCGTGTGGGCGCATGTCGCCAGTTTGCTGTTCTGCTGTTCACGTGCATGAAAAGTGTGAATAAGTCGAGTCTGGATGCACTGGTATCGGAGCTGGTTCCCGCTGTTCCGCGCGCGCCGTCGTGTGCAGGACCAATGCGCCATAGCTGAAGTGGCCGTTGGAGAAGGCAGTCCGCCATAGCGGACCTCGAGGTGGAAGAAGCCGCCGCGCACCTGCAACAAGAAGACCACGACGAAGAAGAAGATCGAGAGAGAGAGATGAGAGATACAAGATTGGGTTCTTACCTGCTGCGCTGAAGATACTGCTACGACGGAAGAGAGAGAGAGAGAGAGAGAGAGAGAGAGAGAGAGAGAGAG